AAGGGCAGTATCCTTAGACTATCGATCGCAAATATTAGGCTTTTATCAATTCGCAAAGATTAGGCTTCTACCAGAACTGTGAGAACTTTGTAAATTTTTGTGTACCTCTCCATGGCCATGAAACCCTTCTTAAAAAGGGATGGATGAAGCCGTTCTCCAACGTTCAGCTTCCTCCTGAAATCTCTGAGAAAACGTGACCCTGTAATCCTCGGATGTGGGTGGTTACTTTCTAACCATTAAATAATGACACTTTCTCTCTCTAAGAAGCTTCCATTTTTTAGAGATAAACATTAAATTATAAGAGAGAGAAATATTGCATGTTTAAAAGACCCCATGGTTACACACATGTACCAACAGTTCTGGTGTCAACAACTTTATTATGGCTTGAAATCTATTTTATCTATAGTTATGAAACCTACAATTTCAAAAGTCGTAGAGAGCAAACATATCTGTAACATTTGCAAATATTGAAAATAGAAGGTTCGGATAACTTCTTACAAGATGCATTATTTTAAGAGTAATTTATGGTCACTTGATAATGGCCTGGAGCCTTGGCGGTAGTATTGTTGAGCCCCATGATAAGGCCTTTGAGTCCATTCTCACCAAAGAGTAGGAGCCCAAATCCCCACTGACTTACTACTTTTTTGGGAAGAGGCAGGGTGTGGTGGTAGCACCCTAGACCCTAGTTACCACGTTGTAGTTTTCATTCCCACCACTACACTAAAATCTTCAGAAAGCTAACTCCTTGTAGTTTTCATTCCGACCACTACACTAACATCTTCAAAAAGCTAACTCCTTGTAGTTTTCATTCCCACCACTACACTAACATCTTCAAAAAGCTAACTCCTAATTTACTTGAAAAAATAGGTGGAGCTTACCCAAAAAATATAAATATAAATATAAAATTCATGGTCATGATATTCTCTTGGTTTAATCAATGTCCATGATATTCAAGATGAAGTCTTGATCGATTGCTGCAAAAATCAACCAAACCTATGCTAATATTAGGAGAAATTTGAAAATTTTCAAACTAGTGCTGGACACGCTCAATGAAGGCTCTAAGGTATCCGTACACTCAAGGGTTATCACTCAGAGCCGAATAGTTAAAAGAGATTGGTGATAAGAGTAACAACCAAACCTAAGCTAATATTAGGAGAAATTTGAAAATTTTCAAACTTATGCTAGACACGTTCAATGCTCTAAGGCTCTAAGGTATCAGTACACTCAAGGGTTATCATTCAGAGCCAAATAGTTGAAAGAGATTGGTGATAAGAATAATAAGTGCTACAATGTGATGTCTTAGATTTAATTCTTGAAAATAATAAAAATTAACAAAAAAAATTTTGAAAAAAAGACATTTAACCTTGAATACATTGTAACAAGCACACGGGAATCCCATTGACAACTCATAGTTGCATTCAACTTGTCTTCTCATGGTCATGAAGACGAGGAAATGATTCAGTCGTCAAAGGAGTCACAAAATCCTCTTTGTCTATGACAAGATTTAATTTGTTTGTGATAAGATTTTAAATTTTTCTCGGATTCTACATTTCTGTAAACAGACTGGTTTCTATAAGGTTGAGGCCATTAATAATCAAAATAAGGCGTACCTCTAAATAGCGTAAAAAGATGATATTTTAGTAATAAAAACATTTGTGATAGCCTGAAAATATATTTTCATATTTAATTATAAAATTTGAAGGTTTAAAAATAATGTAGATAGGCCAGATATATAAAAACTTAAAAATTTGACAGCCTAGATAAAACTTATAAGATGTACTTATTTCCCATACTTGAAGTCCATTTTTTTTTGTCGTCTATATATCTCGATGTCGAGATGATTGATTTGAGGGTTTTTTTTAAACCAAAAAACGGCTTCCAGCGAAATTTGAGATGCACTCTAATTTGATTGTTTAGGGCCTCAACCTTATTTAAAGTTTTTTCTTTTGTAAAAGAAGGTCATGCACTGTGCATCAATTTTGCAATGCAAATGAAAGCTAAGATATCATCAAAGTAGAAACAAAAGGCGACATGGAGAATTGAGGAGAATATGCGTTTGGAATACCTATAGACCATAGAGGGTAAGCACACTATGTGGACCACTGAACTCTGTTGTCACAGTGGTGTTGTCATGGTGTCATCACTGATCATTATATTGATGGTGAGAAAGTGAGACCCACAAAACTAGACATGACCCAAGCGATAGGACCACTCACTCCCCATCACCACTCCTCCATTGATAAGAAATGATGGTCAGTTAGGGTCATAGGCTCTTTATGTTGACAGCGGATTCATGGTATACCACCTACTATAAAAGGCAAGTGATGCCCTAAACCATTCCAACTAAAAGATATCAGCAATTTCGTTTTTTCCTCCACAAAATACCAAATAAGAACTGCCTTATCCACCTTAATTTCATGGAAAAATAAACGATCAAAAGATTTTGTGCTCCCATGAGAGTATCTTGTCTTTTTACTCCCTCAGGTAAAGCCAAATCTAAGAGTAATTTAGGATCCAAAATTTTTGGGATAAAGTATTTTCAACCCATAGATTAATCTCAATAAAATAATTTCCAAATTTCACTTTCTATTGACAAAACATTATCTCAAAGTTGAATAGAGACCAACCGATTGTTGAAGGATGAGATCTCAATGTAAAAAAACTCAATTTCAAATTTATTATTTTCAAAATAGTCATCTACTGATTCTTAGTTAGCTCCCAAAATTTTAGATTGAAAAAAATCTCCCTAGTCTTCCAAACGAGGGAGTACATGCACAGTTTGCTCCTGCAGGAGCATATATACAACATCAAATATAATATGATCTATATGACAGTCATAACAATACTCAAAACAAAAAAAAAAAATCCCATTTTCACTTCGGACTTATCTAAGTTGAACTAAGATCAAGAGCCAAGGGATCAAGGAACTGGAAAACTGAAATCACATGTGAACCCGATAGAACATGGACTCGCCCGAGTCATACTAGGGAAACTCGGGCTTAGACCTCAGGCTACCATCACTTTTGAGTCCCAGGTTTTAACATTGGCAACATACTAACAATCAGGGCTGAATTGTCCAATCAATTGGTTGAATAGTGATGGTGGTATAGAGAGGAAGCAGGGCTACTATTCTCCGTCACTGCCAATATGTTGACAGGACAATGATAACCACACGATTATGAAGTTATGATAATCGTATGGACCATATTGTTCAGGCCTTAATTTAATGGGTGAGAATGTGTTTAAGGTGTCAACATTATACTATTGAAGTAAGGTGCACCTGAAAACTATGCCAAAAGATACAGTCTCGGTGCAAACAATCTAGCATGAAAATCTATCGTCAAATCTTATCATGAAATTTAAAGTTGTAAAAATAGTGATGATCAAGTAGATTTATAAACACCTAAAAATCTTGATAACGGACTGTTCATATAATGTGTTAGAAGATGAACAATTTTTAAGACATTAAATCAATTTTTTTTATAGGGGTAGGATAGTAAAACATCCGAGCATTGAGGGTATCATTATTTATAAGGAGATGGGCAAACAGAGGCGGATAAGGGGCCGGTTGTTATTGAGGGAAACATTACCAGCCTTACATTCTCCCAAAAATCATCGTAATCTGCATAGACCAAACAAATATTAAATTGGGATATGGTCCGAAAAAATCCTCATTAAATATATCAAAGACATATGTGTCCCTCTATTTTTAAGCATTGAGAAATGCTAACGGGCGTTAAGTTTTGGCTTTCTTGTTTTTCTTTTTAACTATTTCAAATCCTCGGATTAGGGAATTTAATGAGGTTTTGAGTCTAAGCTCTCAAGCTTGATGAGAATATCTAA